AAATGCAAAGCCAAACAACGTGGAATGCACTCCGCTTCTTGCCTGATATAATTACGCCAGCGCAAGATCTCCTTTCTGTGAACGATTTCCTCATTTTCAGTTTCGTAGCTGTTCCTTCATAGTTGTACGCTCGGCTAAAAAGGCAATGATGCTGCACTTTGGGAACACATAAAAAGGCATAAAGCATTCCATACAAACTCTAAGGCTCTTGTCTTCATGCCGTCACTTAAGCGACTATTTATTTCTTTATTTTTTATTTTTTTTACATTTTTCAAAGCATGAAAAACGTCATATCACTTGATAGCTGAAGAACGACCATCAACTTTTAATTAAAGAGATGGTGGAGGCTGTGATGTATATTTTAGACCTAATTAGCATGCCTGACTCAGGGGAGAGAAGTGATTAGTTGAGTAAAGCCTCCCTGTGGATGTTGCAGACAAAACACACTTAGAAATAAGTGTGCATTCAGACACACACCCTGCACACTGACAGCCTTTGCGCTGAGACTGTGAGCCTCGCAGCAGTTAACGTGATTATTCACTGTAGAGTGATATTTACATTTTACAACATGCACCTTAAAGCCTTGCTGTGTTTTCAAGCTAAATATTGTTTTTAAGAACATTGACATACAGCATAAGCACTATTCAGGAGAACATAAGAAAAGCAGTGAGTGCCACTCTGGCGGCTTTGGTTCTCGTCGCTAAAGTCGTTCTCAACAAACAGAATAAAGAGGAGGTCATGAATTGTAAATAAACTGGGGCTCTTAATGCGCTAACACATGTGATACATCTGAAATGTTTAACGCGTTAATATTACATAATGCAGATGAATTGCATGACCTGTTTTGACCCACCCTTTCTCCCACGGAGGGTTACCTAGCTAGAAGTAGCGTGACACATGCTGCATTTTTGATGCTACAGTCAAAAATGTAGCATCGCAAACATGAGTGAAAAGATGAGTGAGGAGTTAGTCTGGTGAACTCAGTGTAAATTTCCCTTTAAAAACCACTGCAGTCAGAGCCGGCGGCCTTTGAGTCCTCAGTTCCTATTCCACATGTCTTTACCGCCATCTCTGCCGCTTTTACATTAATGTCACAGAAAGACCACAATGGACATTTGGATAAAACCAGTGTGGTGTGTAGTCTGCTTAGCAATGCTGAACTATCCTTCCACCAAAGTACAACCAGTGTACAGTTAACATTTCTAATGAAAATAACTTCTTTTAAATGCTCCTGAATATGAAAACATAGAAAACTGAGATGTTTGGTTTGAGACAGTAAAACATTTTTTAAAAAAAATTTTACATTTCAAGCTTGCAATGTTAAGCATAGTGATTAATCATCATTAATCACTGCACTAGAGTGTGATTAATCTGATAAAAATGTTTAATCGAGTGACAGTCAGCTCTAATATATTTAGATTTTGTGTTGCACTTTTCTAGTCAGTGTTCACTCTAAGCACTCGCAGGTAAAACTTTACATAGATTGTGTCCAACATGTGTGGGGTCTGCAGAGGTAATAACTGTCATTAACAATGAATTGTTTGATAACTAGGACGTATCGTATGTGTGTTTGAATTGAAATTGTTAATGACAGATAACAACTGTCATTAACAGTGGACCAACAGTTAACAACAGAACA